TCATCAGTGAGGTTGATAGATAAAAGCTGTTTGCCAGAACCAGGAGTTACTGAAAAGTAATTGAGAAAAAAGTTAGAATACACATTTTGGAGGGGTCTTTATAAACATTTCTGGAAAATCAGTAAAATATTTAAGAAGGCAATGCAGTCTGCTTCCATAACACTGCCAAGAAAATTGAATGGACAGGGTCACTGTGACTTGGACTTGTCATGGACCACACCTTTCTCTTTTTTTGAAGGCAGTACAGAACTAAGTGGACTGGGTAATTTGTTTTGGAAAACTTAAATGGTATGAATGTAGAGCTTTGAAGTAAAGCAAAGATGGAAGTTGAACTAAGATTTACTTCTTTCTTGATTTTTCTGTTACACTTTTAATGTTGCTCATTATAGTTCACAGAATCAGTTTCCATAAAGCTTTAGTAAACTGCTAAACATCAGTTATTCAAGATGAGGTTCATAAATCTATTTTGGTATATTGATTTTAGGGCTTTCTTTATTCAATCATTTTTAAATTTTTTGCTTTGCTGATGCCTTCTAGCAGATCATTACACCCACTGTAATTTTAAAAGCATGAAACTAGACCAGTTCTGACTAAGTGGCTGCATTGTATTTGATCTTTTAATGGGGATCATTTTTTCTAGATGTTCCATCTGACAAAAAGTTAATCACATTCAGTGCTCACTTGTAGCAGGTGCTATATTCCATACAATATACAATTTGGTGGATATCTAGAAATAGAACACTGGCATTTGAATGCATATGCAAAATGGTATTTATCTGTATAATTTTAGTATAGTGGGAAAATATATTTCTTCCATATCTTCCAGTAATATGGGAATTGTTCTCATATTGTTCTCATAATTGATACTAGTAAAGTGTGTATTATTTGCCAAGTATAATCCGCTAAAAAAAAGCCCTAATGGTGGTTTCTGTTGTTCTGGCAGTAGCTAAGTTAATATATACAGTAGATGTTAATGCATGCTACTGCAGATTATCAGATTTTCCAACATGGTCTGATCACCAAAAAATGTTGCAATTCTACATGTGAACACAAGGAAGTTGCAATATGATTCATTTCACTTCTTGAAGTCCAATTTTTAATAAAATTCACACAATACAAAGCTCTATTTGAATGGTACCATCTTGGTTGGCTGAAAGATCTGGTTATATTCCCACAACATGCAAAGCCACAGTTTACTTAGCTTATTTACTAAGCCTTGAAATTCATATAATGAATAAACCATGATTTATAAGCATAGTGGGTGGGTTTATGCAGTAGTCTAAACTACATTTTGGCTTCTTGGTTTGTGTAAAGAAAGCCTATACCAGACGGCCATTAGAATGACGGTATGTATGGCAAAAGGGCTTTTTTTTTTTTTTGTAGTACACTTCACTGACAGTATTTCCATGATATGCTGGACAATTGACTACATAGTTAAAATACGGTTAGCAAGATTGCAGTTAAGTGTGCTTTGCAAATGCTAACAAGTGGGTTAATGCAATCAGCATCTTGTGCAAATAACACCCACTGATAAGCAGGGGGTCTTTCATATTTCAAGCAGTAATCAGCTGTATTTGAAAATATCAGGAATTAATCCAGGTAATTTCTGTATGTAAAACAGACTGATCTACCAGTCCTTTCATATGCCCTTACTTACCAATGTCAGTGAATCATGAGCACTGTGGTCCAAATATGTAAAGAATGCCAAATTCTGTGAATGAACTGCTGCATCTCCAAGCACAGCTAGTGAGCTAATGCTAGATTCTTTTTTCTCGTGGAGCAGCTGCACCAGATTGCCTTCTGATAAAAGGGTATTTTGTAATAGCTGTAAATGACCTCCTGTGGCAGCCATGGGGGAGTGTACAAGGCCCTCCATACTGGGACAGTGGTCCCAGCATACTCTAAACATTTTAAATGCATGCACCTGCTCATATTAACCAGAAGCACCTTTATTTGTTATCCACAGTCTATCTTGTTCTAAAGGTTCACTGAAACCATTGCTTTAATAAAATATTTTCAGAAAACACCTATGGATATACAAACTATGCCTGTTTGTTGATAACTTCTAAATGCAGTGGAATGCAGCTCTGCTTATATGGATATATACAATATTGACAGCCCAATAACTGCACTTGTTATACAGAAAGTCTGCTCAATTAAGGCTTACAGTCAAGAGTAAGTTACACATGGATGAGTTACACAGCTGTACTTCCCAGAAGTATGAATACGATACTTGGGGTGGGGATATAAGCATAAATTTACTTGCTGGATTCTTATTGGTCAGCAGCCACTTATAAAAAACTTGGGTGGAGATGCATAATCACTTGCTGGGAAGGTTGGTGAAAGAAAATTTTAAATAGAAAATCAATGCTTCTGTGTTAGTAACTTTCAGAGAAATCACAACAGGTAAAATATGAAAGGTAACAAAAACAAAAGTTTCAATATGTAATAGCTACAAATAACAAAAATGAATGTGGAAAGAAGGGAGCCTTATGTATGCTTATTTAGAGAGAGTATAGTTATTCAATTTAATTATGCTTATTCTGAGAAAGTTTGTGTAGAATTTTGAGCCTAATTTGAATGGCTCTGGTGATATACTGTACTAAGCTATGGTTTGTTTAAACCATGGTTTGCTAAATAACCTACAAAGGCTGGGTTTACTCAACATATTAAGCCATTACCAAACAAAACACCTTATGGTGTAATGTTATGTGTGAAAGACACAGGCAAACCTTTAATATCAAGGTTCAGCCTGACATAAGGAAAATACATAAAATATGTATCTGGGTAAACAACTGTAATTAAGGAGTAAATTTTCTGAACCAGGTTTTCTTTAACATATTCTAGGATTTGAGTTGTGTCATAAAAGACAACCAACATACAGTTATATAGATCCAGAAGCTCTATCTACTATCCTTTGTGATTCTAATCGTGGAAAAAGGAAGTGGTTTGCTAGTAACAGACTTTTATGTTCTATATGTTCTGTACTTTCACAAAACCATTCCAGACTAACATAATTGGGGCTACAAAATGCTGGAAAACTGCTACAGGACAAAAATTTATTCTGGTCCTAGATCTTGTTTCTCAAATAATAATGTACTCATTTAACTGGTTTGGATGAGTAATTTATGTAACCCATAGAGTTGCAGGAGTCAATGCCAACTTGAAAGAGATCTTAACTCTCACAACCTATAGAGTTACTTCCATAAAATGAATAGATATTTGGTAAGATCTCAGATTGTGGAAAGTGGCTTGATAATGAAACCACTTTTTGTTTCTGCTTAATAAGCCCACAAGGACTGGAAATGAATCAAACTTAGTTTATGAGCTCAACTTGTTGGCCTGGAATTCCATTCCTATGGCTACTGGGCTAGGCCATAAATGCAAGACTGATTTATGTTCTTTCTACTTTTTGGTTTTGAAAGTGTGGTGAAGTGAATCAATTGAAGCAAAAATAGGAAATGGAGCCAAGTCAGAATTTTCATTTCTTGCCAAAACACCGTGATCCAATATTATACTGATCTTACAACCCTGCAGAGATCATTATATTTCTTTTGTGACATGCTGCAAATTATTTTTGATTACCTCTAAAGCTCTAACTGGGTTAAGGCATGGGTGTCTTAGGCCATAGTTTCGTCTTGTGCTACATGTTATTTTTGTCTTGTTCTGATGAGGTTCGAAGAACCAGTTATCTTTAATAAAGACAAGCTCAGATTCTGGTGACTTAATGGAATTTGGTTTTGTCCAACAATATGGAAGTGCCTTACTGTTGTCTTTGTCTGGGATGTTTTCCCATTCTAGCCCATAGCCCTGGCATTTCCTGATGATCCCCCAATCAAGCACTTTTCATCAGCCAAAATCAACTTGCTGAGCAAAAAAGAAGCCCTCAAGTCAAGCTCAACTGCTGATGATTTCCTGGACAAATCCAAGCAGTTTTGTTGGGAACAATACATAAGTAGTCTACCATTCTTTTCTTCCAGAAAGTTTATCACCTTCTTAATCTAGTCTGCAACCTTGGTATTCGGGTAGTCACCAGACCCAATCCAAGCTAGGAGCAAGCTAGCTTCTAACCCGGACAAGGTCAGCTACCTGCTGTTACCTGCTGTAACTCCTCCTAGTACTCTCAGTTTATCATTTGGGGCGAAATTTAGATTCATTGATTTAGATCTTGAATAATTAAACTAAGCAGATTTTTTTATTGAAATCAATGGATCTAATTATATTTAAAACTTCACATTAAATTCATTGTCTAATAAGTAATACTAGGTCCATAAGATCAACTCTAAAGGTTTTGTTTGTTTATTATAAATGGCATTCTGTACAAGCTAGGAATTTCTCTTTTTCTCCTGTAATATGATGAAGAATGAACTTCCAAGAAAGTTATGGAATTGCCTTCATGCAGTGTAGCACGGTAGAAGCAATGTCTCGTGAAGAATTGTCCAAAGTATCTAGTCCTGAAGAACAACAAGAAGTGAAGGTAGATGACTTGCTGTTTAACCACTGAAGACATTTGCCTAGATTTCTGTGGTTTGATGTAATATACCTGAGTATAAGTGCTAAATTCTTTTGCCCAAGTAATTAAAAAATAATAATAAAAATGAGAATTGGGCTAAGATTTGCAAGGAATAATGGCTAGGTCTACAATACCATGGAGGAAGTGCCTACCCCACTAATGAATCTTGAATTACATCACAAAAGGACCAAGTAATTATGAACATAATAAATACAAGAGTTAGAATAATGTGTTGTTTTCATTACATGGTTGCTTCTCATAGTGACTGAAAACACAATATGAGGAATATGAAATAGTTAAGATGAAGAGCATGTACTATGCTGCCAGATTAATGGGCATAAAGGATAAAAAGTTGCTGCCAACTTAAACTGTGGCCTGTTTTGTGCATTGGGTTAAGTAATGGTTAGCTGATTCATGATATGTTGGATAAACTACAAATGGTTGTGTTCACACCACACACTAAGCCATAGATTCTGGTTTACAAATGGCAGTCACCTTCATGCAATCTCCTAAATCAAAATCAAGAAAACCTCATTATAGCATAATGTGATGCTTGAACCTTGTCACAGAGTATGATCCCTTAAAGCTAGAAATACTTTTTTACCCGTCCCCCATACCTAAGGTAGTTATATCCTAAGCATGCACAGAACTGGTTTTACCAAAAAATATGTTTAAGAGAAGGAAATCTTTAAGATAAAGTAAATCTTTAGGCACAAGAGGAAACTTGGGGTAAGTCAGAAAGTAAGTGGTAGGATATTCAAGGTTAGTAATTCTGAAGGATAAAATAGACATCTATATCTTAATTTCTTCTTTAAGGAACTGTATCAGCCACTGAAAGTTTACTTGAGAGTTCGTCCTTTCTCAAAGGGAGAGCTTGAAAACAACGAAAACCAGGTTTGTTATGGACCATGTTGTTAATTTTTTCTTGTTGATTCAGGACAAGGGATTTTGAAAATGTTATTTTCACTGTTATTGTTTCTTAACATGCTCTTAGATTGTTTTACACCATCATTGTCTAACTATCAACTACTAGAATGTGCTATTACCTTGGTTTCCCTAAGATTGCCTTAAGAATGGTTTTGGCATTAATGGAAGGATCTCTCCAATGTATTTCTAGCTGAATTCTGAGGTCATTGCTATAGGGGTGATATTATGGCCCTCAAGTGCTGAGTTACAGGTGGTCCTTGTTTAACGGCCACTCATTCAGTGACCATTCAAAGTTATGGCAGCACTGAATGAGGAGACTTACGACTGGTCCTTGTAGTTGTGGCCAATGAATGAAGTAAACAGCTGGGTAAGTTAAAAAGGTACAATAGCCCAATATATTTAAATGCTAAAATCTAAAACTGTTGGTGCTCCTGCCTAAGGTGTATCAGGAAATAGCTTCTCTTGGTATAGAGCAGTGTTTCTCAACCTTAGCAACTTTAAGATGTGTGCACTTCAACTCCCAGAATTCCCCAGCCAGCATGCTTAAAGTTGCCAAGGTTGCCAAAGTTTTGAAAAACACTGCTGTAGAGAATATATTCTGCTATTTCTACAACTACGTCTTGAACACTAAATGGATAAGACAAGGGAATTGCATCTACTGCATGTCTTGGACGGTATCATATCATTTAAATTTGAAATTTTGTAGTCAAAGGACTTGTAAAAGATATTAAAAGGCTTTTTGTATTAAGGACTGCTTAATTATTGAAAACCAAGAGACAGTAATGCTTCGGGGTCCAAAAGAATTTATCGGGGCCCCAATAAAGAATAACGAAAAGAAAATTGGACAATCTGCACATCAGTTCACTTTCACAAAGGTAAGCTGCCCCTCTCTCCCCCCCACAGCCCAATTTCAGATTTTTAAAATGCAGGTAAAATACAGCGTTGAAACATTTTTTGCTTCCTAGTTTTCCAAGTCTTTAAGTAATAAGTTTACTAAGTTGAGCATGATATACTCCCATGTAAATTGCATGACATTGCAGTCTTAAGTATACAATTAAGTGCAGGTTAGTTTTCATTAGTAACCAATAATATTATCTTAAAGGAATTTGTTTGGGCACACACTGTTCATTATTTCAGGGGCATCAATGCTTTCAGAATCAGACTGCTGCACACTCTGGTCCAATCCAACATGACATAAAAGATATGTAAACATGATCTTTTCATTTCTAAGAGCAGCTCCTGGAAAGTCCAATTTGGATAGCACTTGAAGTCAGAGGTTAACCTTTTTCAACTTCCCCAGTTAAAATAATTCATTTCCCACAGATGCTATTTTCTTTGAGGGGAAAACCCCCACATATATTATGCTGCTTCGTGAGATGAACAGCAGTCTAGAGGGAAAGGATGTTATATTAATTCTTTTCAGCACATAGGCAATACTCACAAGGGAATGTTCTGTGTTATACACACACACACACACACACACACACA